AGGGCGCGCGCCCAGCGGGGTCACTGCACACCCAGTGCTGGGTGGCTGGGCAGAAACGTCCTCTGAACTGGGTGCTGGGCTGGCCCCACGGCCCGCGCCGCCCTGCACTGCTTCCAAAGGCAGCACCCACGGGCCCGGCACCGGCTGCTCTGCAAGCAGGGCCAGGCCCAGCAAGGCAAGGACGGGGTCAGAACCATGGGCCTGCCTATCTGTGGCTGCAGGGCGTTTTCTGCAGCTCTCTCTTTGCGCAGCCGAGTGGCGCTTTGGGGGGCTTGGAGAGTTATTTGTCAGTGGGGATCCGACATTGGCCTGTTTGGCAGAAATAGTTTATCTGGATGTTGAACAAGGAAAACAGGATCCAAGAAACCCAGGAGCAGGGCAGGGTCTGGGAAAAGGAAGGAGTGAGTGGAAGAGCTTGGGATTTGGGACAGAGCAAAGCGTTGGGAGGCGTGGGGTGGCAGACGGAGTGGTGGAGGATGAGGAGGCCAGAACAGCAAGTGCTGGTGCCAGCGAGAGGGCTCGTGCTGCAGAGGCTGGAGGTGCTTCCCAGCAGCCAGAGCCTCCTCCCTGCGGCTTGTCTGAGCTGGGGGGCCTGGACCAGGCCCCATCCGACAGCTCTGTGGGCCTTGCATCCAGCCCGTGAGGGCTGCGCACCGGGACTGTAACACTCCCTTCTCCCGGGGTCCAGGAAGGAGCACTGCCCATTCCCGAAGGCTGCTCTGCTCTCCCTCTCCTCCTCCGAGGGGAGCTGGRCGGGAGAAGGTGATCAGGGCTTAGGAGCCCTCGGGAGCAGGGATGGCTGAAGGAGCCCGAGCTAAYTGAAAACATGCAAAGACCAGCAGGATTTACTGCCTGGTCATCTAATCCTGCCATTTAGCGCTGACCCACTTGAAGCGACAGCGTGTGACAGGGTGACCAAGCAGTGAGGACAGGATTAGGAGCCCCTAAGGCGATTGTGCTCCTGGGAGGACACACAGGAGACCCGAGTGCCTYGCGGGGCAAAAAAAGCAGATGTCCCAGGCTCTGTCTTCAATTGGTGGCCATCAGAAATAGACTCTCTTGAGAGASAGAAAACACCTAAGCGAGCCAGCTGGGAGGCACGGGGTGCTTGGGCCACTGACAGCTCCTCGGCCCGTGAAATGGTCTGGCTCAGGTTTGTGCCAGGATTAGCACAACTGCGGCTGCAAAACAAAACACAACGGGGAAGGGAGCGGGGGGAAGGGGACGGGAAAGCGAAGCCTGCGCTGGGACAGCTCAAAATAGGCAGGGGAATCGGCCAGGGGATTGGAGGCAAACAAGGGATGTGTGTCTGTGCTCAGTCTGCAGCATCTGAGCCGGTGATAAATCCACAAGCRGCGTCGCGGAGCTGCCCCTAATCGAGGGAGCCGCGTTGGGTCGAGTGATCTCTAAACAGAAGAGACATGGGCCAAATGCCCAAAGATCCTATTCCTGAAGGCAAAAGACTCTGATGGATGCAGACCACCGTGGCAGTTACGAGACTGGCTAAAACAAGTTGGAGGAACGGGGGGGGACAGGGCTCCTGCAGCGGGAAGGCTGTCTCCAAGCACAAGAACCCTCTGATTTAAGTTTATTTCTGAAAACAGGCCTGTGAGGAGCACATTTCCAGCCCAGCATCTCACTGGGGATCCGCCAGCAGAAGATGCTGAACTGCAGCATCTGGGGGTCCATTTCTTAAAGCACCTTTCCCTCACTCATTAATCCAAGAGAAGACAGAGAGATCCTCACATCCTCTTGCTGGCAAAAGCCACATTTGCCATGAGACCTGCAGATGCTCATAAGTATTGAGTATCTGGTTGCTTCTGTAGGTTCCAGTTTTAACCTGACCAATTAAAGGTGGCAACCCAATGAACCTGCTAAGGGCTCATGTTCTCACCTACCTCACTGCTTATCACATGCTGGCTAAATAGCTTTAAACCCTGGCATTCAGAAAGCCAGAATAAGCCTTACACAGACCGCTCTTCTCCTGCCCCAGCAAGTAGACTTGCTTGGCATGTGTCAGCTCAAAGCATTTTCCACATAATTAGTCATTTAAACTTCTCTCATGCGGGATAATCTAGCCCTGTTATACCTCTTTCTCAAAGGAGCATGTAAGGGTGTTGACAAACATTTAAAAGCAGTGGAAAAGCAGGGAAATACAGGCTGTTGTTACCACTCCTACCTGCCTGTATCACCCTTCTCTTGGAAACGGCTCCCTCGGCAGCAAGTACAGCTAAACGGGCCCATGTCCACGCTGACCACTGCACTTCATATCTTGGGAGACCAGGATTAATCCCAACTCTGCACTCTGCACTGCAACACACCAGGCTGCAAACCTCAGCCATTGGCACTCTCTGCCAAAATGGTGAGAAATTCGGTGACAGAAGGGGAGGGACAGAAACCACTTCAGCCGCTCCTGACTAACACACCATGAAGAGTGTAAACGTGCTMAGGTTTACACAGCCCTGTGAGCAGAAGATCTGATCCCACGGCTCCCATGAGTGGAAGAAACCTCGCTACGCTTTCCTCTTGTAACACTTCTCCCCATGCAGCTCGGTCCCCTCCCTTGTGCTGGCTCGGCACTCCTGAAACCCACTGCGAGCTCTTTCACCTGCTAGGAAAAAAATGTTATTCTCTTTCGTTCTCTTTCTGGGTTTTCTGATAGTAAAATGGGAGTGGGAGTAAGAGCATCAGTCCATTCAGGAGCAGGAGAGACCTTATATCAGCTTGCCCTGTCTCTTGGCTCCGTGCCCCAAAGCACACATAAGCAAACAACTAGCTAGGAGACACGTGCTGATGTAGTGAGCCCTGCTTTGCCCTTGGGTATCCAGAGCACTTTTACTCTCAGAGCTGAAGCAAAGACAAAAACGGTCCTTGCTTTGCTGTAAAAAATCCACCAATCCATCCAATAACTCCCTCTCCGTACTGTCAACAGAWTATTCTCTGCTACCCAAAGTAATGTGCAGAGAACACATTTCTGGTCCATTATATGCAGCACTATTTTATCTGTTGCACTATTTTAACCGTTGCCTCTAAGGTTAGGTCAGCAATTGCACCATACAACAACACTACAGGACCCACAGGGTGGATTGCTTTCTTCCAGCATCAAATGGGGAGCTTTGTTAAACAAATAAGACAGTATCTTCCTGGGACCCTGAACACTTTCCTACCTTCCTCCCAGATTCCTGCTGTCTTCCTTTGTATTTCAAGGGAGCGGGATTCTTAAACGCACTGGAAAAGCAGAAAGGCAGGAAGAAAAACAGTGGTGCTGACTGTTCAGGCTAAAGAGCTGATAAAGACACTGCTCCATTCTGAGATTAACAAGTGGGCCCTGTGGGTCAGGACCACTGCAGGCTGCCCATGTTCTGGGGCTACCCAAGCATGAATCAGATTTTTTTCAGGATTTTTGCACAGTTTCTTCCTGTCCTACAAATGGCTCCAGCATAGAGACCTTGCAGTGCATTACAGGAAGGGTAGAGGAGAAAAGACAGTGCTGCAAAATAGTCATTCCCAAAGCCTAACTTATATCCATGGTGCAACTTCTTCATGCTTCCAGAGCAGCAAAAGCTTCAGTGTCAYAGAGTTATCAAATATCTGAGATATATAGCACAGAGATATCACCGAGATATCACAAGTGCTGTGTCCTTGGGCACAGAACACCCAGTTTTGCCTTAGCTCCCTGTTATCCCCAGGTTCCACTTCAGACTGGGGTTAGCTGAGTTAGCCAAACCTTCCTGAAAAAGCAGCAGTTCAAAGCAGAGTTTGAGCTGCCCCTGCCCTGAGCCAGAGTCTGCACAACGCTTGGCAGGGAAAGAGATGAAATTCTTCTCATCTCTTCAGAAGATGACACAGGTCTTTCCTCCCACCTGTGCATGGTACATCCCAGGGATTCTCTACTTCCATAATATCTTCCATTCAACGAGCTTTATAGATCTCAACATATCTGGCTACCTAAGGAAGTATGATTTGTTTTTACAGAAACTAAGGCCAGGAGAGATTGACTGATGTGTCTGTGGTCATAGAGGAAGCATGTGGCAGAGCAAAATCAATTCTTTAAACTCCCATTCATATGCTTTTCCTAATACCCATCTCACCTATATATATCCTCTTGCAAAAGGTATGAAAATCTTAACATCTTTACAAGTTTCGCCCCCCAAAGCACAAGAGTGTGGTCACTGTGCACATCTGCCTCCACGATAAGACCTCCCATGATCTGGGAGCGGTTATCAAGTTCATGCAGTTTTTCTGCAAGTGAAAAATGGAAATACCACCTATTTTCTGTTGATACTGCTTCCCATTCACTTGTATATACATTTACTTCCAGTAAAGTTTACACCAGGTATGTGTTAACTTTGCAGCAGAACTTCTACCCGCCAGGCACTTGTGCCTTTTATACAGTATTCATCCCAAGAGGCACTTGGGTGGCAGAGGAATGGGAGATTGGAGCAGGACCTAAAGCAGTGAGTAAGTGTGAAGAGCAATGAAGATGTTTAAGCAATTAAGATGATTAACTCAGCAAGCTGGGCCTGTTTAGTCTGGAGAAGAGAAGGCTGAGAGGGGATCTGATCAACATGTTTAAGTTCATGAAGGGGGAATGTAGGGAGGAAGGGGCCAAACTCTTCTCTGCGGTGGCCAGTGACAGGACAAGGGGCAATGGGTACAAGTTGAAACCCAGGCAGTTCCATCCATGTGAGGAAGAAYTTCTTTCCTGTGAGAGTGACAGAGCCCTGGCACAGGCTGCCCAGGGAGGCTGTGGAGTCTCCTTCTCTGGAGATCTTCCAAACTCGCGTAGATGACACCCTGTGCCCCGTGCTTTGGGTGTCCCTGCTGGAGCAGGGGGTTGGACTAGATGATATCTAAAGTCCCTTCCAACCTCAACCATTCTGTGTGATTCTGTGTGCATCTCTACCCCTCTTCCCTCCTCCAGTTGACACTGCGGCTGCTGCTGGCGATGGACAGATGCAGACACTGGTGTCACCCACGTCACCGCCCCGCACCGTTACCTTGGAGGCTGCCATGACGGCCGCCGTGGCCGCGACGTTCAGCCCCCGCTTCCCGAAGTGCACGAGGGCATCGTAGCTCCGATCCTTCGCCTGGACAAGGCAGTCGTCAATCTCCTGCCACAGCAGCCAAAGGAAAAAAACAAAGAGGGACAAGTTCAGAGCCCTGCTCTCTTGGCACTGCAGCATCTGCCTTCAACACGTTCAGGAGTTTGGTGGGTCCTGTACTGCTGGACTCAGATACCCCAAATGCACAAGCACAGCATGCAGGGAACCCAAGCAGAAGTTCCCAAGAAGCACAGACAGGGGACTAATCCCCACTGGCCTTCTGGGATAAGACTGAGAGACAACTGTTCATTCCCTGTCTATGGCTAAAGAGTCATAGACACTTCCACAGCTGCCACTGCGGGAAACAGTCACTGGCTTCCTAACAGTTTGCATGCTGGTACTTGGCTAAGAGCTGTTCTTTGCCCATGCAAGCAGAAGCACCAAGCAGATCTGCCTGACAATGTCCCATTCAGAGCCACTGTCATTCTTGGGGCCAGCAAACRATGCAATGTTCCCTCTGAAGTTAACAGCAAGACATTTCTCAACCCAGGACCTTAAAACACTTCACAAGGCTTATGCCGTTACCTCTCCCAGGCCAAACATTTCCCAAGCCCCTTTCGTAGGCAGGATAGACTGTGCCTGACATGCCCYTTAGGATGTCCTGGCTGCCAGACCCTGCTGCTCTAAAAACATCCAGCCACAACACAGCACACCAGCTGTATTGAACAAGGATGTGCAAAGCCACTCAGAGGGTATTTTTACTCTCCCCTCTGCTAACTTCTCAAGTGCCCAGGGATGAGCTAATATGTGTGAGTGAGCTGAGCAGATGCCAGTATTTAAAAACACAACAGCCATAGACACAACAAAAATACCATCCCCCCCAAAAAAGAGAGATGGTAGAATGACAGAGGAGGAGAATCAGCAGCTCCCAGTCCTTCAGTGAGAGCGAGTGATACAGAGATTGGAGCAAACTCTGTAGATCTGCTTCACCCGGGAGGGCTGTGGCACCTGCACTTACCTTTTCTTTTGAAGACAGTGTTGGGTGAACAAATTTTCTGTACAGGAGGCTGGAACCTTTTGTGTATGGGGAGAGCAGCCAAGCTACAAAAGCTATTTTGAGTTCATAGTAGAATGGAAACCTAGAAGAGAAAAAGAGCTGTTAGCGCCCACTGTACTGATTGGAGATGCACAGCATAGGGAGGAACTGGCCAGTTCTTAGTTTAGTTTTGCTTACCAGAGAATCCAAGAACCAACACATGTTTAGTCACCCTTGCACTACCTCAATTAGGCATGTGAGTAAATGTGCTCTTTACTTAGGTACTAGGGCAATTACTTAATGGGCTGTCAGAGATCCTGCTGTGTGACAAGAGCTGTTGTCTCCATGCTGGGAGTACACATGCAGCCTTTACAGCATCCCCAGTCATTGGGAGGCAGCAAAAACCCACCCAAGAATGAGTGCTGCATCAATTTATTTATGAGTCTTTTGTTCCTGTGTCTTCCTGCAGTTAAGATAACATTTATCTGGCTGAAACTGAAACACACTGGCCATGCAGCAACCAGGCCTGACCCACTGGGCCTCTCAGGCTCTGCTCTGAGCATGGGCTTGTGAGTCTGGGCTTCTGTTTGACGAGGATCTCCACTTCACAGCAGGCTCATTCAGAGGCTGGCTCAGGCAGCGCAGCCCCGCAGTGCCCCAGGCCATCACAGCAGGGCTCTGTGCAGACAAGACAGAGAGACAATAATGTCTCCTTTGGCAGCAGACTTGACCTGGTGCCAATGCCCCCACTGCCTTTGTTTGGAGGACTTGCCACAGGCACTCAGTGCTGTCTAGGGACAGGCTAAAGGTGAGACGGGCACTACAGCTAAACCCCAGTGACCCAAAACCTCAAACCAACCAATCTTAATTTTACTACCTTGGAAGAGGCCTTACTGTAAAGGCTACCAACATCTGCAGACTCGAGCATCTAAATTTAAGGTACTGAATCTGATTGCTGGGCATTTTTGTGCTCTGATCCTGACAAATGCTACCAAGAAACCTTCATCGGGTGCCAGTGACCCCCATCAGCCCAGATTGTCACTGTCCTCCAGCAGCCCATCAACTCAACTGACCCAAGAAATGACCTGGGAAATGACTCTAGGAAAGACAACCACCCAGGCAGCAACCTGGAGGCAACACCTGTTCTGCAGTGCTCTTCCTGCCTGATTCACAGAGTGTGTGTATTTATGTTAGGAAACCATTAGGTAAGCCTGGATCTGTACCTGTAGCTAAAGCTGCTGTTTATTCTGTGATCATCTCTGGAAGGATCCAACTTGATTTTGAGCTGTGTCTCTGACAAAATCCCATTTCCCACAGGTTGGGGACAGAGCCTTCTGTAATGATTTCTCCATAACCTCTGAGCTGTTCCATCATCTTTCTCCCTTTTCATATGACAACACTAAGAAATTAAGCCTGGATCCTTCTGACAAAATATTTCTATGCACCTGAAGCTGCTCAGTCTGTGCTCAAGAGGCAACATGGTCCTGCAGATCTCATTTTCTCATCAACATTTTCATTTATTTCTATCTCATTCCAAAGACCCTCTCCCATCTGATGCTCACCAGCAAAGAAAGATATCTGTGAACGTCTCTGCTGTTGTGAAGAGCGCAAATATAATCCAGTACATCATCCATTTGACCTGGCAAAAGAAAGCAGGAGTTACGTTKTTTTTCCAGAGGGTCTCAAACCATCTTTTACAGGTACAAATGCAGAGGTAACCCTCACAGAAGAGAGGATCATTTTTCCCTCCTATATACCTATATACTAAGGATTTAAATATGATGAAAGGGCTTCTCCCACCTGAGCACAAAAGATGCCTCAGATTTCCACACAAGCCCCCGGGAGGAGGAATTTGGCTCATGGGATTGGTCTCACAAAAAGGCAGGACATTCTGATTCACTGATCCTATTAAGGAAGCTCTGCTGGCCAACTAGGGGCTACAGCTCTGCCACAGGTCATTAAAAATCTCTCTTGGCTCATCTTAATACCCAACGCTGGTATGAGGGCGTGGACCAAACTAGGATTAAGCCAAAATGTTACTACTTATATAATATTCACAGACAGGGAAAAGTAACCAGGGAAAAACAAAGAGCTATCTGCTCAGCCTATGATCCAGGAGTCACTCACAAAATCAACATACCATAAGTTCCTGAATGAATATATCTTGTTTGATCCATGGTACCTACCTGCACGCGTACCTTGCATACCCACTGTGCTGCTAGGGCAAGTGGCACAGTGTAAATCTCTATAATCAGAGCTTAAGCTTGARCATTTTACCTCACGTTGGTGGTGCAGGCACATGCGCCAACTCCACTGGTGGGATTCTGCAGTGGGTGATTATGGGGGGTTCTCCTCTATGGTGACAGTGGYAGGGAAGGAGTCTTTAATCAGGGAAACTGCAGTGTCTTGAGTAATTCAAGACTCTCTCGTTGTTCGCTTTTTTGTTGTTGCTTTTTGCTATTGAGCAGTAAATGGCATTTAAAGGCAGGACTAAACTATACAGAGATATGTAGTTTGTCTTGATCTTGAAGGAAACAACTTATCTGCATATGCTACCTGCACGTCCACTAAGTTTTATTAAGAGGTATCATGCACTATTATCACAGAAGCAAAGTGTGGAGTAATTTCCAAATATTGGAGATGAGGGGAAAACATATTAATTCTCCTGCAATAATTTTCTTCTGCTGAAAACCCATTAAACTGAGAGCTCAAAAAACAAAAAGGCTTTAAAGATCAGTATCTCTTAAAGAAAAGTGATGGTAAGTTGTTTGTTTCATTTCATGTTTATTTCATCCAGAAAATGGATGGTTCTACTTGAAAATGGAAAATTCCAAATTAATTAAAAAAAAAAAACAAGAGTCATTCCAGTTTGGAAAAAAATAGCCGTATGCCTAAGCGGCTTTGCTGGAATGTTATAAAGCTTAATGAAGTAAAAGCCATCAGCGTTCTAGGCTTTGTCTGAATGACAATATTGGATCATGTTAATTGAGGCTGGGATAATTACAGCTGACTGAGAGGAGGCTGCAAAGACAGCAGTACGAGAGGGATACAACACATTGGATCTCACCAGCTCCTGCTCTAGCACCTCTCCTCATGGCAGTGGTGCAGACAGTACCTGAACTGTCTCTCTGTCTACAAGTACCTGTCACCCAGCTGCATTTCTGCCCCCCTGATGTTTATTTGGGGTTACAGCAGTTACACTGGCAAACGCCTGGGAAAAACGTCCTCCCGGGGCAGCTTCTGCCAGGCTTTTACGTAACGGACTCCTGGAAGGTCTCGCTGCCAGCACAGCTCTGTCAGGCACCGCTGCCAGCAAAGCTTTTAATACAGCCCACAATGTGGGGCRGAGGGCTGAGATAACCTAAACCACCAGGTATTCTAACTCCTATTACTAAACAGAATAAATACACACTACAGTGATACGAGTTTAGATTAGCACAGATACACCTATGTGAAGGTTTTGTTGTGTCAGTGTTAATTTTTTTTTCTTTGAATCAGACCTCTAGTTGATGGATCCCCACAACTGATATGTTACAGGGAAAACCAATTTCAGGTACAGCCGAGTTGTAAGATCCACTATTCCCAAGTTAGGGTTATGACCCCATAGATCCAATGCAAGTTCCTCTTGTGCAGCCCAGTTCCCAGCAAGAAGTGGACTCTTCAATGAAAAATTCTGCAGAAAGAGGCTGTGAAAACGTTCTGTATCAGCAGTAGACACTGCCTGGGGACGCTGGCACAAGCGTCAGCACTTCCAAGCAGGGGATGCACCAGTCTTGAGAAGCACAGCTTGTGCATGGGCTGCAAGGACATTTTTCYGGAAGTATCTGGTGTGTTGGGCAACACAATTCCCAAAATATCCAAAACCATAATCTGAACGAGCAGAATGATAGACTGGAAAAGTCTCAGCAGCCGCTCTGAGTCACAGTTTGAGTTTGCACTAAGGACTTAATGGGATAATCACCTAAGCTGTTACCCAGGGGAGAAAATGGGCTTGTTGTCCCTGACATCTTGAGAGGATCTGGAGGCTGAGCCTTGTTCAGCACAGTTAACAAAGAGCTTGGATTGCAAATCCCATAGGACCCCAAGGGGGTCCAATGCTATCGATTCTCCCACATTTCCCTTTCCTTAAATGCACTTCTGCCTTTAGAAGGAGAGGCCAAGGGAAGAGTTTTCAGCAGAAGGACAAGGCAGTCACCAGACCTGCCATAAAATAGGTCACTCCAGCAGGAAAGATGTGTGTGTCTGAGGATTCAGTCACACGTGCTTCGAGTTGCTGCTTCTTATCCCTGCTGTGAACRCACAGCTAAAGCTTCAGGGCCTGTAGGAGACACTTTGATTTATGCCACTCTTTCAGAAACAAAGGAAAACACAAGGGCTCTGGATGGCCAACACCTTTTCAGCCAGATGCATTTGTCAGGGACCACATCAGCTCCAGCTTAAGCTTCTGCCTAGCCAGGACCCAGGCAGCCCTGCCCGGGTCCTGGTTTTTGAGCCCTCCCAGAGCCCAGATGACACCTTTATAATGTGGCGAGGAACAATCTTAGAAAACGAACCCTGTATCACTGTCAAAAACCTCATTACTCACATATTCTTTGATGTCCTTGGATTTCACGGCTTTGTAAGAATAATAAGCAGGGTAAAGAGTGCCAAATATCAGCCTGAAAAAGAAAAAAATGATGAATGGATTAAATTGATTTCCTGCCACAGAGGAATTTTTTTTCCTACTGTTAAATATGTTTTTTGTGCTAGTGAAAAAATGCTAAGATTTAAGTTTTAGTGCACTAACTAGAGCATATGACTGATTCTGCATCACTTGATTTGAATCACAACTCAAAGCAAGTGCTGCCAGTGTCACAAACAAAGAGCAGAGATCGAAAACATCTTTCCCTTTTGGGATGGTTTCCATGGCTCTAAGTTACAAGGCCACGTCATATCTAATAGATATTGACCTAAGACAGCTGTCACACATCACACAAAAATAAGACCCCATGCACAAAAGGAAATGAAAAATCTGTTTTTTAAAGTAATCTACTGTGACACCAAGAATATAGAGCAACGCTTTCAGAGACAGGGCAAAATGAGAACCATTTATCTGAAATTCTTTAAGCACAAAATGCTGGAAAACATTGGACAAAACAGCACCTAGGTTATACCAGTCCTTGGTTTGAATGGAGGCTCTACCCTMCGTTAAACCTGTGGAAGGAAGAGTCCTGCACTGTTCTGTATCTCTGCCTAGCTGCTTATATTCCTCTGGATATGGACATAAGCCTGTCCAAACCACTCCACTCTGCCCAGGTTTCAGCCAGTTTTGTTCAGCGCAGGATGATGCTGCAAATTCGCAACTGCTGGGGAATGTTTATTGCCCTGCCGATATCCCTCTTTCCATTGGAGCTTTTGCTTTAAACGCATCAAGCTGCTTGCAATGCTCTGGGGAACAGAAACGATCAATGTTTCAGTCGCTAATTGTGAAGCCGCATGGACCTGCCGTTGCCTTTTCCATTCCGCCCGCGGTGTCCATGTGCCGTGGGACTCATAATTACAGGCAGGTCCATTATGTGCCTAAGACATTAAAAATTTACACGTGGGGAGCCRGAGCACCACGGTATTTCTCGGAGCTCGGGAAGGCAGTTGTGAAAGACGTGAATGCCCAAAGCAGAGAGCAAAGACAGTTATTCAGCATGTTTACTGCAGCAGGGCAAAGCAAAACGCAAAGCACAATGTGAATTTCAGAAAAGCATCTGCTGAGAGAGGATATTCACTATTTTACAGAGGCTACATGCTGGCTTCAAAAACCTTCCTGGAAACAGTCACTTCTGAACCTATTTCAGCCACTGAAATACGACATCAGACATTAGACACCAATGCTCAGAAAGAAGAGCTTGGGAAGCCGAATGCTTTGGTCTCCTTAGCAAACAGCACCCCTGTTTAAGGCAAGAAAATGAAGAACACAGCTAATTGTCTGATCCTGATCTCAACGAAGCCAATAACAAACACTCCCCCCGAACTCAGTGGCTGCAGGACTTAATCCAAAGAGGATAATGTTCACAAAAGACAGAAAGCTCCACATGGTTCAGCAAAACAACCAAGCAGCAGCGAATGATATTTTTGGCTCTGCTTATAAAAGGCACCACGTTTCTGTCCTTCCTCCTCAGCCCAGGCAGGCTGCTATTTCATGCTTTTATTTCCTGCAAGTGATCACTGGATGATTGATACTTCCCCAGCTTATGCTGGTAACAGAAAGTAACTGGATGCTGATGAAGCGAGCAAGTTTACGGAATCACTGACTATGGACACTCTAAACACTTGGAAAAATTCCTGCAAGGGAAGGAAATCCCACAAAACATTTGCATGCACAGAGCCACGGATGGTGACTAAGGTGATGCGCTCTRCTCAAAAGAGTATGGCTGATTTTGTCTTTTAATGTGTTGTCTGTATATATGGGCATTTATTTCTACTGTGGTTGAACAGACTGGAAAGAGGTTTAAGGGGTATTGGGTTCTGGCCATGACTGGTGTGCTCTGGAGTCCCTTAACCTTGGAAAAGGCCCTACAAAATGGAGAGAGCCTTTTGGCATCTCTGTGCAGCACGTTCGAGGTTGCAGAGACAAAAGCCCGCACACGGGGATGCCCAAAGCCTGTGGAGGTTGCTGTCCTTGCTGGGCTTTGGATCAGGCCTAAGGAGTGCAGCTGAATCCATGTACATGTACACAGTGATTCTCCATCTCTTCCCTCCATTCCTCTTCCTGCTGAAGATACCTCTTTCTTTTCCCTCTAAGTTTCCTGTGCACTTAAGACTATCTTTGATTCCTGCTCTCCTCCGTCSTACACCCAAACTGTTACCACTAGTACCTCCTGGACAAGGTACTGGATGGGAAAACACACGTTTTTGCTGTGACACCCATGTTGGCTGCCTGCCTGGCAGCTGGGCAGCCAAGTCGATGAGCTCCCTGTGCAGTTCACACTGCAGCTCCTACCTGGTGGACAGGGCTAGGAGACAGGCTCTTATCCAGCACTGATTTATTAGGAATAATACAGAAACTTATATCTGATACATCTTTGACTCACCTGAAATTGATTTCTGGAAACAAAGTTGTAACGGGAAAGGTGGATAGCCTAAGCCTCATTTCCTTAGGCTAAAAACAGTGTCAACCCTCCCACCCAACTCTCAAATCTCCTTTTTTGARTGATCTATGTGCCCTGGAAGACTTACCCCTTTCAGTGAAGAAGAAATCTTMATCAACAAAGCAGGGCCTCCCAAAGCTCAACGTAGTAGTTACTACATTTAAAGCTTTAGGGACCTGTCCCTATGGCCTCAGCCCYCGAGGGACAGGGAAGGGGCAAGGAACTGGTGGCATTCACAGGTGCATKAGGACTAGCTCACCTGCAGCACTAACAAATATCCACAGCAGCCCAGCAATTCCTAGCCTGCTCCGTGTTAGAGGTCTCCATCAATGGAAACTGCCTTGAAAACGGGCAAAATAGCTGCTGTAAAGAAGTCAGTGAGGAGCCAGCTAATTGTGCAACGGGAGGCAAAAGTCTAAGCAAAAGGTTAGTCTGACTAAAGAATGGGATAAGGATTAATACGGAAAATCTTATAATCCTATTAGGCTCCTCAGCAGCATTCCCGGATCATCTGGGCTGCTCCAGGCACTTCCAGCCATTCTTTTCCTACCCGGACACAGCAGAAACAGAAGGGGAAAGGAGAAGGGCAAGGCAAGTGTGTGGAAAGACACTGGGAGAGATCCATGGGAGCATCTGTAAACACCATTTCTTTTTGGGAAGCACGAAAATACCCAAACCGCACAGAAAAGCAATGCAGCTACCCCTGCTGCAGTATCAAGAAGGGGAAAAAACCCTCTCCATCACAAAGGGTTAATCTGTGCTACTCCTTGCCTCAAGGTACATCATGGAGCTGACTAAATGCATTTATTTATGTAATTCTGTTATTGAGCATTTTTTTGCTTGTGTTATTCAAGTTAACCATTAAATGAGCACAGAAGGGATGAAGTTTCTTGTACCATGGGGTTGACTGGTTACGAGGGGAAGATCAATGCAACTGAACTGTTGGCTTCTCTTTAGATACTCTCTTTATGTTCTCTTTAGATATTCAGATATTCTGATATTGCAGGAGGCTGCTGCACCATCACTAAACCACCTCCCATCTCCACTTTCCCCTCCAGCTAGTGCTGGACCTTATGTCCTCTCTGCTCCTTCAGTAGAACTGCAGGGACACTGATCTAGCCATCACAGAGCACGGACAACCAGGCTGCATCATTACTTTTAATAGGACATAGCTCAAAGCCTGGGGCTCAGCATCAGAGCTGGCACCAGAAACGAGGAGGCTTCATAAGACATCCTGAGTGCTGATGTTTGGTGATGCTATTTTCCCCCTCGAGGACCCTGGTCCTGTGGCCATTTACATGCAAAATCTCTCTCACATGGAAAAACACTTGGTGATTCCCAGGATTGCTGGCCAGGCCTCAGGAGTAACCTCCAGGAACATCTGCAGGTGCTTTCTCAGGAGCACTTTTAAACATGGGGGTATTTTCCGGGTGGGAACAATGTCAATCTACATCAGCAGGGTCCCACGGGAGTGACGCTTACCTAGGTCCCAAATCATCCGAGCCCYTGGGTGCTTGGGCTGCCCAGCCACTTAGAGCAGCTACGATACCAACACGAGAGCTTTTATTTTCCCCACAAATATCTCATGTTTCTGTTATCATCAACACACAGTACCCGGGATGGCAGGTCCTGCTCAAGTGCACGGAGAGATACCAAAATGTTTTGGTTTCCTCAACATGTTCCCTGGCTCATCCGTCCTTCTTGCACCCAGAGCTGTCACCACGCCAGGCCCCTCAGCTGGCCTGCCAGGAAGGGTGCCAATGGGTTTGTGTTCTTTATTATCAGGTCTAATTAATGCTCACATGGTGCAACAGATTAAAAATAAACAGCACAGTCTTTGCACCAAAGGTTCMCAGTTTAAATCTGGCAGCTGTGAATGAGAAAATAAGCAGAGCACAAGGTCAGGGAAAGGGTTAATGTGAGACACGCCACAGGCCAAATGCCTGATACCCAAGAAGGGACGGGGATGAGGGAAACACCAGCTGCAGGAAAGCAGAGGCTTCAGGCTGGTGTTCCCTGGGAGATGGTTCAAACTCTCTGTGGTCACTTTGCAGCAGAATAAATACAGTGAAATACTTCATTAAACACMCTGCATTTCCTTGTATTTACGTACTCCAGGATAGCCAGGATCTCGTTCCTTCACCTTCAAAAGTGACACCATGTCCATCACCTCCACCCTAGGCGATGGGGACACGCAGGAAGCCCAGACTGGCACCGTGATATGCACCAGGAATGATTATGGCTTGGTGAGAAACAGTCCCCTGAGGGAAGTGGTGGATCTTGAACCTCCCCAGACAGACGAGGGAAGAGGCAGCCACTCCTGTCAAGCAACCGTGACATTTACCGTGACACCTTGAGATCCCACACAACGACTTATCTCAAGAAAGGGCCTAGGGACTTCCTTTTCCCCACTTCTTATTACAGGCAGAAATGCTGGAAAAAAACAGTAGAGATAGCACTGCTAAAGTTTCATATTAAAGCCCAATGGAGATTAAGCAGGTAAATCACTCATTCCAGAGCTGCCATTTCCAGCTGCC